TGCATCTTTACCAATCTGACACAGATGCCTGAATTATATATACATTCCTTTCATACACAGTCACAGCTGGGTCTGATTACTGCCTGCATACATCACTGAGTCAGAGGTGGGGTGAGAGGCACACTTCTTTCCTATGATTCCAGGCCCCATCTCCTGCTGGGACCCACAGCTGCTTCTTGTCCTGCTATGGGCTATAGTAACACATTCTAAGCAATAGGTAAACCAGCGAGGTAAAGGAGGCATTCTGGCTTGTATTGTAGCTGATAGAAGAAATGTGCTATACATGACATGATGGGGAAGATTTACTAAAACTGGTGCACACAGAATCTGGTGCAGCTGTGCATGTTAACCAATGAGCTTCCAGGTTTTAGCTCTCTTTCACATGGGCAGTTGTTCTGCCGCTTGTAAAGGCATGTTTTTTTATTTTGAAATTCCAACACTCCTGGCATAGAGATCACAACGCGTTTATACATTGCATTTATCTGCGACTACTTGAGTTTACATGAGGCTGCGTTTAGCTGCCTTATCTATAGCAACTGTTTACTTATTTTTTCTTTGTACTGCGATTAAGTGCGTTTATGTGCAGATAGCTGCGGTACATCACTTCTGGATGCTGTCAACTTTATTTTTCCCAAACACATAAAACCGCATGCTATGAATACGTTGCTAAACGCAGTGTGTGAATGGAGCCATAGAGATACATTATCTGCATTTAGCTGCGATAAATAAGTTCCTCTAACTGCAGCTAATAGCTGAAATCTAACAGCCCATGTGAAAGGGGCCTTATTGCCAATTCTTAAATGAACAAGCTGACATTAGAAGCTGATTGGTTACTATGTACATCTGCACCAAGTTCTGTGTGCTCCAGTTTTAGTAAATCTCCTATGTGGGTTTTTTTTTCATTATACAGTAAGCATGTGTTTGTAGTTTGGATGCTTGAGCTTTTAGATGATACCTTCCATTTAAAGTGGAAGTGAACTTCAAAAAAAGTATTTGCTGTGTTATAGGGAACATTTACAAATGTTAATTGGGCCTAAGTAGGACCATGAAAGGTTTGACTTTTGACTTGAATATCTCCTGAAAAACAGCAGTGCATGTCCTGTGTCTAGGTACATCTGTTTCTTGTGCCTAATAGCTGTACAGTATATCTGCAGCGTAAGGTCATCTAAGCACTGCTGCCTCTGAATGCCAGTCTCATAGCATTTGGAGATGTGGCTATTGTGGTACCTATTGTTCTTTTATGGAAAGGAAGCTGTACCTGAGAACATGCAATGCAAGATTATCCCTGCTTCTGCTTTACCCTTTCTGGGGATATGTGGTTTGTACACCTCTCTCGCTGGTTCTTATTCAGTAACTCCGCATTCATCAGGGGACAGCTCTGCCATAAGGAAGCAAACCTTTGTAAAGAGATGGCCATCTTGTTAGCAGCAGAGACACAGTGAAGAACAAATCATGGTAAGTCCATAATGGGGAAGATAAGCTGCAGGGAACATACAGGCAATACTGGTGACTTACCCTTTGCTCTCCACTTGCCTTTTCTGGGTACAGCATTCATATTTTTAATTCCTCTTTTAATAGAATTATTTATAGTGGGGAAAACAATGATACTGGCACAATATGGCCAATTGTTTAGCTCTGTACTGTAGCAGAAGTGGTGACAAAGATAACACCTGACACCAGAAAGCAAAACATTCAATGGCCTTTTATTGCTATCTAAAAATATTGTAACCGTGCCAAAGCCAAAAGGTCTGCTCAATTTTCCCTTTGTGTTTTCAAATTTATGTATAATTTAGTCATTGCCCGAAAGGGCATAACTTCATACTCCTGTCAGTCATTCTGTTATACAGCGTATTTACCATGTGGGATACTTGTCATAGGTTTCTGAGTAAAGCGGTGGAACCATTTTTTTCTGAATGATCTTGTATGTGCATATGTATGTGCTTAATTAGACAGCAAAAAATGAATTTGCTCAATCGTATACAGGTCTTCCAAATCACAGAATACCAGTTTATTGTCAAAAAACATTGTACCTCAAATTCACAGAGTATATATAGACAGCTTATTACAAACTTTGACAATTCAATCTGAGCATATGATGGGAAATAAATCGCATTAGAAGAGGTCACCTTTGGTGAAAGTTACATATCAAAACAATGAGAAGATCCAGATCTAGTAAGCTGAATTTGTGCAAATTTAAAATTTTTGCTGTAAATGTCTAGTTTGGCTCCACCCGTCCAGCCTCCTGAACATTCTTTTTGTCCTTCACTGTGGTCTGACAGACAACCTGCCTGGTTGTAAAGCCTTACATATACCCAGTGAAGTTACTGGCTTCATATGATACACAGAGATGAAACAAATCCTCCTACATACATTGTACCTGTCTATCTGCAGTCTTCTTTACATCCCTTCAAAGTGCTGAATTTATAAAGCTTGTCTGAAGCTTTATAAAAGGGGTGGAGAGATGAAATTACACACAGCAGAGCTCAATGAGAAGAGATCTTAGAGCTGATAGGAGGGAAGGAACAGAGCTGAGGCTGGCAATCTGCTGGAAGTCCCTCCTCCTGTCATCATTTTTCTCTTGGTGTCAGGAAAACTTTTCAGAAGTGATTCATGCTGATAGCAGAGGAATGAAGCAGCAGACAGAAATTGCACTTAGTGGATTTGAATAAAGTACACACTATCGAGGGATATGCTTTGTTCATATTTCATGTCTAAGGTTTACAACAACTTTAACAAACATTTAGCTACAGCTAATTAAGGAGTAAACTCCAAAGATTAATGGCATACAGGTTAGGTCAGTTACTGAAAAGTTTGCACTCTATGCTGATGATTTGTTATTTCTTAATGATCCTGGTCCGTCACTCTCTCTGCTGCTCTAGACATTTTGTCTTCGTTTGCGGAAATCTCTGGCCTTTGTACTAATTTTCTCTGGCCTTCGTACTAATTCTCCCTATAGATTCTGAAGCAAAGGGGGCGGCATAGCCAGCTCATCCATTGACATGGGTAACCTCGATGCACTATTTGGTTATAACTATTTGGGTATGACTATCTCTACTCAGATACGTTACTATTGTATGTTCAACTTGTACCCGATTGATCAAGTCATTAGGCAGGGGCTGAAAGCATGGAACAGCTTCCATTTAACTATTATTGGCAGAATTAATTTGGTTAAAATGAAGATGCTATCTGTACTTTTTTACGTACTCGGGCACTCCCCAACGTGGATACCCAAACGTTTTTTTTTTTTACCCTGCTTCATTCCCTCATCAGCTCCTTTCTCTGGCAGTCTCGTCCGCCTAGGTTTAACAAACAAATTCTCCGTAGGCCTTGGATTCAAGATGGCTTGGCGTGTCTGGATTTTCAAATGTATTTTTTAGCTGCTCTCCTCACACATGCGCATAATTGGCTGATCTCCGACGATGCTAACTCCTCGATTGTCTTGAAAGCGGCATATGTTGGCTCTTTTGAAGTGCTTCGAAATTTACTATACCAGGGAGTGGGTTGTGTTTCCACCTCTTTCCTCATCCATGCAAGCAGTTGTTAGGGCTTGGTCCATAGTAATCCCCAAATGTGCCCGGCCTCTGCCTTTTGGTCTCCTCATACACTATTGTGGTATAGCCCTAATTTACCCGAATTGGAGACTCTCATGGATCCCTCAGTTTGGGTCTCGAGAGGTTTCAAATATTTAGATAATATCTGTGACAAGGGCTCATTAGTTCCTTTGATTAAAAACCCCAAATGACCTTCCCAATTCTCACTTTTGTTCAATTTCTCTAACTCCGTCATGCTTTTTTCTTTAAGTTTGGGGCAGATCCCCATTTACTGGCAGATGACCTGGAATCCCTCTTACGTGACCCATCCCTAAAGAAGCCATTGTCAACTATCTACAATGCAATCTTACCTACAATTCACATTGGCCTACACCCCTTACAATTAAAATGGCAAGCGGAGATTGCTGAGCTAAATGGGGAGAATTGGGATGATGCTAGAGAATACCCCTTTACACAATTAGTGCCCACCAGAGACAAATTAATACAGTTTAACATTTTGCATATGGCTTATTTGATGCCAGCCAGGCTACATAGAATATTTCCTGAAGTGACATTCAATTTCTGGTGCTGTGGTATGGCCTCAGCAGACTTCTTCCATATATTTTGGTACTGTCCCCATATCTCCACTTTCTGGATGGATATCCTAGAATTTATCCACTCCCTGACCACCATAACCATTCCCCTGACTACCCCCAGGGAGTAATGCCTGGACTTGAATAGCCTCCTACTATATATCCTTTTTATTTTCCTATAACTGCCAAGACCTTTATTTGTCCGTATGTAATACCTATCCAAGGTTAGTGGTTAACTGGATTGAGTGAGCTATTGTTATTTGATTGTATCGAGTGAGCCGGAGAATGCCCAGAGGCTCTGCTTTGTAACACCTTTTTATTGCAAACTCAAATAAAAAGAATTTGAAAAAAAAAACCCTAAAGATTAACCACTAGTCTACATTCTTCCTTCACTAAAATCTAACCCCTGATGAAGGAAGATTTCTGTATAATGCCTGAAACCTGTTGGCTGTTAACTCTTGATAGATATTTTTACAAATACATACAGTTGTGCTCAAACGTTTGCATACCCTTGCAGAAATTGTGAAATTTTGGCATTGATATTGAAAATATGACTGATCATGCCAAAAAATGCTCTTTTATTGAAGGATGATGATAATATGAAGCCATTTATTAACAAATAGTTGTTTGGCTCCTTTTTAAATCATAATGATAACAGAAATCATCCAAATGGCCATGATCAAACATTTACATACCCTGGAATATTTGGCCTTGGTACAGACACACAAGGTGACACACACGGGTTAAAATGCCAATTATAGGTTAATGTCCCACATCTGTGGCTTTTTAAATTGCAATTAGTGTCAGTGTATAAATAGTCAATGAGTTGTTACTGTAGTTCTTACGTGGAAGCACCGACTAGGCTAGATACTGAGCCATGGGGATCAGAAAAGAACTGTCAAAAATCCTGCGTAACAAGGTTATGGAACTTTATAAAGATGGAAAAGGACATAAAAAGATGTCCAAAGCCTTGAATATGCCAGTCATCACTTCCATTAAGAAGCAGAAAATTCAGGGACTTCCTGATACCAAACCAAGTACAGGTAGACCAAGAAAGATCGCAGCCACAACTGCCAGAAGAATTGTTCGGGATACAAAGGGAAACCCATAGGTAATAAAAATATAAAATTACTTGTGAGCCACTGAAGTGTGTGTTTATAGGTCATTGTGCAAAATAGATCGCAGGCTCCCTTGCTCACCCTCATATATGTGTGCCAACAATAGATAAAAAAATAAATAAAATATAGGGTGCCGTGCTCTAACATGAACCTATATCTTTAATGGTATATTCCAATCATGAATCTATATACCTAATAATTTAAAATCTGCATGATCTCTAAGGAATAATTGTGCAAAAAAAAGTATATCAATATTAATCCATAATCAATATGTGATAAAAAATAAATAAATAGTGAAAGTAATAAAATATTAAAAAGTGAATGATCAAAATAATGTGAAATAATAAATAATAATGGTTAATAAAATATTATATATAAGTGAAAGTCCAAAAGAAATATGCAAAAAAATGTCCTATCAATATCAAATAAATAAAAAGTCCAATAAATATATTCCTGTGTGGAAACAAACTTTGTGCAGAGTTCAGCAGGATGGTAACTTCGGTATACTCTCCTTCCAAACAGCCTGTGGGTGAATAGGTATAGTTGTATAGAGAGGAAGCTGCAGTATAAGCCTGTGTGGTATTGCAGATCTCTCCCTCCTCAGAGTGCTCTTCAATCCATCTCTCTATTGTTTCTCATAGGGCCATAGAGAAAAGAAAGCTATATGGGGGTTTATTTACTAAAACTGAAAAGTGCACAATCGGGTGTCGATCTTCATTGAAACCAATCAGCTTCCAGGTTTTATTGCCAAAGCTCAATTGAACAAGCTGACTTTGAAATCTGATTGGCTACCATGCACAGACGCCCCAAATTATGGGTGCTCCAGTTTTAATAAATCTACCCCATAGTGTCTTATCATAGATAAAAGGTTGAATTTATTGTGTGTGCCCATTATGGACTCACATGTTAAAAGACAATACACATTGTTATGTTAAAACCGCTGCATGCGGTAGTGACCAGCCTCGTTAGGCCACATCCCCCAGACGAAGCTACGAGTCCCTGTGACGCAACGCGTTGGGGGGGCAGTGACGTCACCACGTATCCGACTTCCTATACGGCGAGTACTGACAGTGTGTGTAAGCACACTAACGAGGCTGGTCACTACCGCATGCAGCGGTTTTAACATAACAGCGTGTATTGTTTTTAACATGTGAGTGCATAATGGGCACACAATAAATTCAACCTTTTATCTATGATAAGACACAATATATCTTTCTTTTCTCTATGGCCGCTCTGAGGAGGGAGAGATCTGCAATACCACACAGGCTTTTACTGCAGCTTCCTCTCTATACAACTATACCTATTCACCCACAGGGCTGTTTGGAAGGAGAGTATACCGAAGTTACCATCCTGCTGAACTCTGCACAAAGTTTGTTTCCACACAGGAATATATTTATTGGACTTTTTATTTATTTGATATTGATAGGACATTTTTTTTGCATATTTCTTTTGGACTTTCACTTATATATAATATTTTATTAACCATTATTTATTATTTCACATTATTTTAATCATTCACTTTTTAATATTTTATTACTTTCACTATTTATTTATTTTCTATCACATATTGATTATGGATTAATATTGATATAATTTTTTTTTGTACAATTATTCCTTAGAGATCATGCAGATTTAAAATTATTAGGTATATAGATTCAGGATTGGAATATACCATTAAGGTATAGGTTCATGTTAGAGCGCAGCACCCTATATTTTATTTATTTTTTATCTATTGTTGGCACACATATATGAGGGTGAGCAAGGGAGCCTGCGATCTATTTTCACAACGACCTATAACGCACACTTCAGTGGCTCACAAGTAATTTTATATTTTTATTACCTATGGTATAGGTTCATGTTAGAGCGCGGCACCCTATATTTTTTATTTTTTATCTATTGTTGAAACCCATAGGTAACCAGAAGAAAAATACAGGTTGCTCTGGAAAAAAAGACAGTGTGGTTGTTTTGAAGGAGCACAATATGATGACACTTGAACAAAAATGAGCTGCTTTCAATATCAATGCCAACATTTCACAATTTCTGCCAGGGTGTGCAAACTGTTGAGCACAACTGTATTATACCTGTACTGGACCCTAATGCAAGCCATAGATGGGGAGAAAAACGGCAGATTTTCGGCCGATTAACGAACTATCGGTCGGTCTAAAAAAACTTACCTGACCACCAATTATTACGAAAATCGGCCGATTAATGAGTAACCTATAACGGGAAATGATGTCATTTTGTGGCCTTTGTGATCATTTTTCGGAAAACGATCGTTCGTTTTTGACCATCAATGAGGATAAAGTCGGGCGTTTTTCGAAAATTTTCCAACATCACCGATAATCTGAAAGTCCAAAATACACGAAAAACGGCCGACAAAATCGTCCACTAACGATAAGATAATCGGCCGGTTTTATTTTCGGACGAAAAATCGGCCGTTTTTCTCCCCATCTATGGCCTGCATTAGGCTTACCACTCTCATCGTTTCACTCTACATTCGCATATCTTTATTGACTGGGTGCCTGAAGAAACCGCAAACTGTCTTTGACATATTTCTCAAAAGTCAGCAGCTCTCTGACCTTCATCAACATTCCTTAAAAAGATTTTGGTGTTTGTACAGATTCAATATGCTTCTTTCCAATGTAGTACGTTGTAGATACTCTTTTTATTTTGGCTCAGCAAGATCTTTTGCCCTGTAAGCATTAGGAAACTTATTAATGAGTTCCATCTGGTGAGAATTAAGCAACACGTTAAAGCTTCTGTTGTCTGTGCATGAAGCATAGAACAGAAAAGATTCTTTTCTTTCCTATCTGTTTTAATCATAATGCTTACACTCGGTTATTAGCAGCAGGCTGTGGTCTGACCCCCATCTATTATTTTTTCCTTTTTATGTTTCCAAATCTTTTTTGACCTGGTCTCATTGGCTCTCTGGCTTTCTGTGTAGGAGCGTTACTGGTGAAGATGTCCTGGCGGAATTTATTGCAGTATTTTAGAATGAATCTCCAGCTGTTTTGCACATCTGGGGTGTCCACAAATTTGTAATTAGTGGAGTCTTAAACTGTCATTGTGATGGTCTGTGTTCTGAGTTGCGTCTGTAGATTCTTTTTCTTTCTTTCTTTGCTGAATAGCAAAAAACTATGTTACTCCTTCTGGACCATCATTGTTCGCCCACAGAGCTTCAATCAAGAAGTGATGATTGCTTTTTTTTTTAAAGGGAAATCATAGCAATTTATTTTACCATCTATCTACAGCCAAAACGTTTAATTTTGATTTTGGTATTGCAGGTAGAGTGCCCACACCCCCAGTTCTTGTCAGGCTAGGAATTAATTGGAAATCTTTTAACAATGAACAAGGACAAAAGCTACAAAAACATAAAACTAATAGAGAGGGTAAAGGTAAGAACTTTGCTGCCTATGTCTTCCTGCCTCAGTGACACCCAGACCACCCATTTCTTCTATGGGTGTCACAGGGACAGGAACTGAGGTCACAGTTATCAATAAAAATATGACAGATTGTAAAGGATAAGTTCACTGTTTAAAGCAGTAGTAAACTGCCTGCAAAAAAAATCCTAAATAAAGGGCCCCCTGCAGTGTTAGGTCGTACTGTACTAGTATGCACCGCATACTATTACATTGTCACAGACTTAACTGTACATGGAGCCCTCCAGTGCCACGCTGTCTCGACTCCCCAGCACCACCATCTTCACCCGGTTTTCCTTCTGGGTTTGCAGGCTCCAGCAGTATGAGTGGTCAAGCTGCAATGACATCACTCCCACGCATGCACGCGGGAGCCCTTGACCACGGTCGGAGCTCTGAAGGGATGGCAAGCTGCATGCTGTGTCAATATCTCCTAAATGATGGCATAAAACAGGCTTACCTGTAGGGACAACTACAAAAGTGGACTTTGCTTCCACTTTAAGAAAAAATAATGCACACATATTTGCAGAAAAGTCCATTTTTTTTCCTGCAGCAGCCTGAAAAGCATCACACCCATGATCAGTGGATCAGGGGTACAATGTTAGGCTTCTGCAGACAAGCCTTGAAGCTTTCAGCCCACATACAGACTGCCAGTTTGAAAGCTACAGGCCTTGTTAATGAACTACAAGAGCGCTCATCAGTGACCTTGCAGTTCATTCAGACCTAAAAACCGTCCGCCATGGTGGATGACAGTAATTGTAGTATACTCATTCACAGGAAACTATGAATAAATGACATGGCCGTGTGTGGGCAGAATCCTGCATGGCTGCACTGTTTTTGAATTGTGACTTGTGATCCCCGCCCCCTGTCACTCTGAGGTGGGGAGTGGGAGGAGGAGTGGGAGCATGTTACAAGTTACAAGCTAAATATAGGTGGAACATGTAACATGTTCCAAAAGGTGAACTTATCCTTTGACTTTCTCACTCTGTTTAAACTAAAGAAAATTTGGTCTGGAGATTCTACAGAATCTCTCATCTCTCCAACCACAGTGAATTGGTATTTGTACTTGACCTGTAGTTCAGTGTGTGTGGGCAGGGTGAAATAGAAGGGGCCCATGTTACCACTAGGCAAACTAGGCAGCTACCTTGGGCGCAGTGCCACTTAGGACACAACCACAACTGATAGGGCAGTATAGCTGTTCCTGCTGTAACATTAATTATATTTTCCCTGGGCACCATCAGTTCACAGGAGGGGCCCAGGAGGCGAGGAGCAGAGAGGGAGTCGTATTTTAAAATTTGGGAGCAGGTGGCTAAAGCCATGCTGCATTTTGCTATGCTGATCAGTGGCAGCCAGCTACGGCTGCTCACAGCCTTTCACTGGCAGAGTGATTATCCCTTCCTCCGCAGCAGAGGGCAGAAGGGTAGGTTGTAGCCTGGCGGTGGAAGGCTATTCAGCAGAGAGGTGGCCAAAGGCACAGGCAGCAATGGGAACCCAGTGCACAGGCAAGCTCACAATTTTTTTCTGAGGTACAGACAGAGATACAGCCATACGCTGTATATAGACAGACATATAGCATCTTCTGTACTGTGTCATCATCATCATGATAATGCCGATTATATAGGCGCAGTGAGATGCTTCCTCTTAGTTCCTTTTTTACACATGTTTGAGGGACATTAAAAAAATCTGTGGCTATGCCACATTTTTACTGTCCCCCAACCATTCAAGACAACGGCTTGTAGGAATTTTCTGATGAATAGTAAACAGTACCACAATGTGGTGGTAATCTTAAAGTATCTGCATAGACAATGCTCTTTTATAGTTCTGTAACAAGACAGTTCAAGTAGGCAGACTTACATGTTCAATATGCTCAAGGGTTGGTCTTTTAAAACAAGTCCTCTAGGTTTTCAGTGGACCTCCCAGATAGAGTGCTGTGCTGGCAATGTAGGGTACAAGTATGCTCCTATCCAGATGCAGGTAGTTTCCAAGTGTTAAAGGACTGACCCAAACCTGACTTTTCTAAATAGGAACCTTTCCCTATGCTGAGCCTGTCTGTTCCTTGCTATTAGGTCTCTTTCCAAATGTCACACTCCCCACACTGCAGGGCACCCATAATGACCCAGCAGGAGCTATATGTAGCCTTTTTTGGTCCAGTATGGCTGCCCAAGTTTCAGAAGAGCTCTGTATCCATTCAAACACAGGCTTCCCCAAGAAGACCACTGGGAGCCTAGTGCAGAAGACAAGTCAGTCCTCTGCAGGTTTCTCTTAGTGCCAGAGGTGATTGTTGGCAGATAACCTGAAAGTGAGTAGGCACTCTAAGGCTGCTTTCACACGGGCCGATCTGTTTTTTCTCAGCAGAGGATCTGTCCGTTGATCCCCTGATGTAAATGGACTGGCTGTCTGTTTATACCACACTTTCCTCTGATCCGGACAGATGGAGGGGAACGGATCCCACTCCCATTTGTTTTTGTAGGATTGGATCAGAATTAGCCTGATGTTAGTGGACACAAGTCTGTTCACATCCGGCTATTCATAAAGAAGAATGGAGGGTCCAGTTGGGTCTGCATTAAAAATAGACAGGCGGACCCAACTGGACTACTCGGTTGAAAGGGGCCTAAGGATTGCTGCCTCACTTTCCATGCTGCCACCTGCTTGAGAGGTAACAGCACTCAGCAGATCCCAGTACCTGACAGATGCTGAACATTAAAGTGTACTTATCTCATAGTTTTAATTAGATGTAAATTGTCAGAACATGTGTGTACGCCTTGTAATTCTAAGTGTGTTTTATTACATACATGTCCTTATAAACGTTATTCTTTTTGGAACGCTCCCTTCAAAGTCATATATTTAAAGACCTCTTTACATTGAGCAGTGGGTATGCTAGGAAGGCACAGACAGCAGTACAAAGGAGAGAAACAGATGCCAGTATATCACCTGGGGGTGTGAGGTGCAAAGACTGTCTTATAGGAATTCTCCATAGTGGGCCCGCAAGTCATCCAGCGTCTTGCTTCCTGTTTTCACTGATTTCACCTGACAGGCCCTGGAGTGTGCGCCAGAGGAGCTGTTTTCCCAGCAGATCTGTCCATATAATTTATTCTCTGTGGAACTATGCCATTTACAGCTTGCTGTGTCACTGCCACCCAACCATGCCAGCCGCATGAGATGCCTATGTAAGTGTACAGTTCATTAACTGTACAGAGCTGATCATATACTGTACACTAGTGTTGTGTCTACAGTGTCTCTGATGACTTATTCCATTATAATACACTATGGTGAATTGATATATACTGTCAATGTCACTATTTTGCAGGCTTAATGTGAATGTTAAGTATCCATCCAATGCAGATGTCAAAAGACGTTTATTAATACAGTAATAACATTTTTGTTTGGTGTGCATCCCTTCACTTTCATTCAGTTTCTAACATTGACAAAACCTCAGCACATGCGTACTTGCACACTTGTGCTCCACTATAATGTCTGATAATGTTCACTAGAAAGGCACACTACTTTTCAGTTTGAGGGTTTATTGATTTGTATTTGTCAATCAGTGTACTACATTTGATCACTGGATGCAGGAGCTCAGGTGTCCTT